GCCCATCATTTTAATCCCATATCAAACACAGTCTTTTAAAAAATAAATACATAAATAATTTCATGTTTTTAAGTACCATATTATGTTACTCCACAGCCCCCCACCATGGGGGGCTGATGCTATGACGAGGGAGGCTGCAGCCCCCGCAGCACCCCCCTTCCCGTGCCACTGCATACAGGAGACTATTACAGTTCTCAGTTGGAGGGCAAGCAGAGCTTTAAACCTGTGAGAACTAGTCAAGCAGACTGACTGTGAAAGTTTTTTTTTACTTTGGAGTCTTTACACAATCTGATGAGGGTCTGAGGGTGGGGCTAATCTGAAATTCTATCACAATGGGGCCATTTTAGAGAATATATTACTTCATACAGTGGTGGAAATCAGTATTTGAATGTGAATTTCTGGAATTTTCTTTGGGATTCTGTCTGTCACTGTTAGAATGTACATATGATTAAAATTGTTGCATTCTTCGTAAGTGGGCAAACCTGCAAAATCAGCAAGGGGTCAAATACCTATTTCCCCCACTGTATATAGGATATTCACAGGAGGGACACAACTATTTTTTCACAGCACCGTAGAGTCTAAATAACTAGAAAAGATTGTTTTCAAGTGTAAAACCAAAACATATTAGCGGTCAGTAACAACAATTAAACAAACTAAAAAGATGAATTAAAAAGATCATAAATGCTGAGGTAAAGTTATATAACAAAGTACTTTATGTCATGTTATCTTTGGTCAAATACCTGAATGTTTTTCCTACCTGGAATTGTTATACGAATTTTGTTAAGGTCTTATTAATGTTGGTGTTCTTGCTTTAGTAGTCCTCTTTCATCCACTCTGCCATTAGTTTTCCTCTGATATTAGTGGACAGAAGCTAAAACTGTGAGGCTAGGCTTCCTGTATGTTGCCATTCCCTGTTTCTACTGCCAGCTATGCTGCAGAAGCTGAAATACTTTCCTGTTGACTACAAGATATGCATTCCATTTCCTGTGCAATATTTATTAAATTAGTCCTATTTATCTTGATATACTGTATATATATATATATATAGCTTATTCGTAATGCACCTTTTTCCTCCTTGTTTGCACCTTCTGTAACTTCTATGCCAATATGTGACGAGTGAATTTCTCCACTGTGAGATCAATAAAGCTCATCTAATCTAATCTAATTTAATTCAATTGTGACACATTAACAGAAATATTTTTATTTCTTTTTTTTAATCTATTATTTGGCCTTTTATCTCACGTTTGAAAGTGTAAATTCTCTCGATAAAAACACATTTACAATGAATACCTCCATAGTGGTGAAATAGATCATATTTAAGGAAAAAACTATTATTCTTAGCAGTGTGACAGCTCTCTCTAGTGGGGAAACACGGTACTGCATAGAAACACAATTGGAAATAAACTGCCACTAAACACTGTTTGGTAGAAAATGAAAACATTTAATCACCGACAGACGGAATGCTCATGAACACTCTGTACAAGGTTAGCTTATTTTACATAAAAAATAAAAATAAAAAAAAGACATAAAACAGGTGACCAGTTAAAACCACAGGTTAGGATGTGTCACAGATTAATTCAGCACGATGCTGGGAGTGTTGTTTAGGACAAGTCAGACAGAACTTGTTTGCCTAACAGTGACCCGTTTTCGTAAAACCCTAATTATAAAAAAAAAAAAAGTGTAAACTTTTGAGCACCACATAATCTAGATTCCAGCTGTAACTTTCCCACCCTGTTCATGTAACCACTTTACTCTAAGGAGGGTTTCAAGTTTCACAGTATAACAAAAAAATTCACCGTGAAATGTAACAGTTTTAACTTGAGACACAGAACTGACCTCACGGGTTCAACCTAAACGTTTCTACTTGACCAAAACTGAAATATTCTAATGAATAATTTTAAAACCAGTAACTTTAGCGCCACCAAAGAGGTTGAAGCTGAGTCTTTAGACAGACATCAGATCAAAACACCAAATTACCCTGATAGAATAAAGCATCTGACTGCAGGATAAAGGTGTATTATTGACCTTTTGTTAGGTTCAGCCCTTCCATCACTTTCAACATCCCATCTTTCCCACCTTCACAGAACTTCCTACAGTCCAAACAGGAAACAACAGCAGCACATTTCCACCACATTAAGCTCAGAGAGTCCATTTTAACAGAGAAACACCTCTCTGTCCTTTGATAGCAGAGACAGAGCAGTTCAGGGTTCAGATAAAACAGAAACCAGAAGAAAAGTGGCATCTTTCCGTTAAGGAGACTTAGTTGAATGTGGCGGCCATGTTGGAGCTCAGTGACCGTTTCCATGAAGGATAAATGTTTCACATTTCTTCTCCTGCTTTCAAACTCTGATTCAGAGATAAAAAGTGAGAAGAGGACAAACATTTAAGTACTAAAGGCATCAGAAAACCGTAATTCAACAGTTGGAGCTGGAAAAACACTGAGCTGCATGTCGGGATCATCTATGGAAGAGTCTTTTCTTCCATCTTAAGCTGCTTTCAGGATGCCTTTTCCCACAACCACCAATTTAACCTTCACACACCTCCTCCATCAAAGAACCCGGATAAAACTAAATAAATAATTTCAAAATAAGCTAATCCCATTAGATGTTTCTTTACCTTGAGTCGATGCTTTCATTTAAACAGAGAACCTTTTAAAAAATCAGGATGGCTCTAAAAACAAAGAGTACCATTCAGTCACTAAAATTCAATAAAAACAGCTCCCAAAATTCCGGTAAAAGAGATAAAAACTGTTAAAAAAAGGATCTGTACAACATTTACACAGTGCACCAGTGGTTATTGTTGCTAAAACAGAAGCATGCTACCGTTTATTCACAGCTCTGATCTATTATTATTCCTAACATGTTGCTCTAAATAAAACACGCTCACTTATAAACTCAGTCAACAGGTGGCAGCGTGGCTCTGCTGGCTCAGTCGGACATATATTAGATGGAAGTTTGGAAATAAAAAGTAGATTCACATGCATAATGATTGTTTAACAAGGTGCCGGTCCAGTCTGATGCAAAAGCGCTGGGTTTCACAGTAAGACCTCCTGGGCTGGAGAGGAAGGTTCCTGCTGAGAGATGGAAAACAAACAAAACCTCAGGAAGAACAGTCACAGATCAATAATTACACATTTAATGACAATCAGGGGAGGTTTTCTGTTGAATCCAGGCTCTAAATTCAGGTGGACATTAAACCCGAAGCAGGGAACCGTCATTTTTACAATACATACCGGAAGATGGTTAATTCTGAAGGATTTTAAAACTTTTTTTTTTAATTCTTTTATTTAATTCTTATGGAGTTTTAAATAATTAACATTATACCTTAATTTAAAGCATTTTTACATAATTTACCCAGGATTGCTGATTGTAGACATGTTTAAAAACCTTTTTTTCTTATTTATTTGTCTATATTTTTGCCAATGAAGCTATGTCAAAGAGAAATATAAATAAAGGCATAAACAAAGTTTGCACCTGAAGTAAAAAGACCTTAAACCTAAGGTCTGTAGATTTAATATGAATTTATTTAATTCCCATTTCAATTTCAGAACGACCCCTGCTGTGCATTTCTAGTATTGACTGTACAATGGCGGTGTAGGTACCAGATTGACTCGGGGGGCCTGCGCCTTTTGATGAACTCCGCCCGTCACTAAACAGTATCAGAGGGACT